GCCGAGCTCTTCCTCCGTCTTCCTCGCCGACGGAGAATGGAGAGCCTCGAGAGCAGGCACCAAACTCACGAACGCTTGGACACACTCAGCGATCGTCCCGTCCGAAACAGCACAGAGCTTCTCGAACTGAGCCATCCGAAGATCGACCAACCATTGGCAAAAGTCATCCCTGAACAAAGGCAAAGTAAGGATCTTCCTAACTGACCTGTCCATCTCGGGCTGAACAGTTGCGAGTGCGATCGCACAGGCCTGCTAATGGCACCCGAGCGCCGTGCCTGAGCCAGGACATGCTGATCAACACTCACTGAGACTACGCGGAACAGCGCACCGATCTAGCGCACCGAGGGATCGCTCGGCATGTTTGTTCCGCGGAAGAAGCACGGCTGATCGGCCGGCTTTATGTTACGGCCGGAGCCGGCGCCAAGCTCTTTCGCGAGCAAGGCGCAAAACATCCGGAGAGGAGGCGTCGAGCGCTTTCACTCCTCGCCCTCTCGCCCCGATCTGGCCATCTGGTACGGCCCGGTGATGTTGCGAGCAGGCGGATAGGCAGGGGAGAAAGACTGCGGAGCCGTCGTAGGAGTCGAGCTGCTCGCCGGGAGCTAGTCCCGTCTCCTCCACCCGAATGGTAGAGTACCTCTGGAAATCCGCATCTTCACGATCGCGAAGGACATCCGTGAAAACCTGCGGGGTGATCGCCGCCGACGTGCGCGAGAAGCGCATGTCTGCCCTCAGGCGATCTCTTGCCTCCTCGATGTACTCTCCGACCCGATCGGTTGGCGGCTCCTCGCCGGGCGATCACCGATACTCGTTGATCATAGGTCTGCTGAGCAGACGTCGGCATATTCGTCAGAGCCGAGGTAGTCGAAGATCCCAGCTGCCGAACTACGGCATGTCGAGCCGCCTCTTCCATGAGAGCTGGCGGACCACGCTGAGCAGTGAGCTCCGTCCCCTCATCGTGCGAACGGTGAGCCAGAGCCTCCTGCCGAACGAACAAGGGTTCACCCGAAGCTTCGAGCGGGCGCGGATGTGGAAGTTACCCTCGTCGACCGGGAACTGGTCCGTGAAGGTGCCGACCGTGCCCCCCTCGTTCGTGGTGGCATCGTTGTACCATGGCGCGATCACCGCCGAGAGCTGGGCGAACTGCTGCACGTGGTCCGGCCCTTCAACGCGAGCGCGCTGACCACGGCACTGCTGGATCGTGTTGATCAACGAGGGGCCAGAGATATGACTGACCGTGAGCCACGTCCCCGGAACCGAAGTCCGCCCGCACTTCAGTTCGATCCGGTTGTTGGCATCCCTGAACCGGAACTCCACGCGATCTGCATCATTGCCGTAGCCTTCGGGCGAAGCACGATCGGTAACTCGCAACTCGCACGTGCTCATGGCATGATCACTTGCCATCACCACTCCTTGGGGGCCGATGGAGTAGACCCGGGCCCCGACCTCGAACGAGGTCACCGAGACTTTCCAGCCGACGAACACGGAGATGACGATGGACGGCCGGAACCAACCGTCGTTAGCCGACCGGATCAAAACCTCGTCGCAGAACTGCTGTTGCACCGACAGGTCGGCGTCCGAGCGATAGCCCCGAAACACTCAGTGGAACAGGACCTCATTCCCGTT